CTGGGCTATGGCAATCCTTCCGCCTCAGCCTTCCAAGTAGCTGGAACTACAGGCGCGCGCTGCCATGCCCGGCTAATTTTTTGATTTATTGTAGAGATGAGGTCTCACCAAGTTGCCCAGGCGGGTCTCGAACCCGCGGGTTCAGGTAATCCACTCACCTCAGCCTCCCAAGGCACGGGATTACAGGCTGAGCCAAGAGCCCGGCTTATGTTCAGTTTAAAGACTATCCAAATCTTCAACCTCTTAATCTGCATTTTCTGTTTAATGCCTTCATTTTGAATTGAAACAATGATTTGACAATCTCTTTGTCCAATGGTATGTAAGGTCAGTGGAAGAAGCAATCTTGATGCTTCAAGGTTTCAATTTATAAATTTGGTATGGAATTTTGTGGGGAGATGAAAATCTGCCTGAAGTAGAATTATTTCACCTCTCATTGCTAACTCAGATTATCATGTATTTACACCACTTATTTACACAAAACCAGGAAAGTGGAAAGATTCAAAGTAGTAGACAATATGAGACTTTTGCAAGTGCATTTTATTTCAACACGAATGTATCTACGATTCTGGGCATTCTAATGAAATAAATAATGAAGGCACAGGACAGTGATGAGTGTGGAAGATCTGTGAAGCTATCCTTTTATCTTATCCTAACTCTTAATCAGCCCCTCAATCTGCTTCTTCCTACAATCTCTATAGTAGGAATTGAGAGGCAAGTCCTGGGAAAGATGTTAGAGAAATTACAATTGCTTAATTTTCTTTACTTAATGATTGATTTTGTATATTTTATTTGGCATTTAGTATGTATTTAATCAAGGTGATTATATTTTTAACTAGAATACACCACAGCCTTTGGTCTAGAAGAACCTAAAGAATATGTCAAAATGCCATGTCTACCAGGATTGCAAAGTTGCCCAAGAAGTGTAAGTTCAACTTCAAGTGTAAGTTCAACTTCACTGGAGGTTCCTAAGAGACTGCTGCGTCCTGAGGCCAAGGTGCCCGCAGTCAGGTAGATCATTGCTCTTCAACTCTCTTTGTTAAATATAAATCTGTAGTGATACTGCTGAATGTAGAGGTTTTTCTGGCTAGTGAATTTAATTCTTTTTTGCCTACTGATTTTTTTTTTTAAATAAAGGATTTAGTTTTTAAAATTCCAAGTTAGCCATTTTATTCAGGTTTACATGTAGGCACTTTTCTCTGTTTTCAAGTGACATTGCCAGAAAAGATGAAGGGCTTCCAGTGAAAAACCTTGATTGTCCTAACCTAGATCATGCCCGTGAGAACACTGGGGTTTTAAGCAATATAAAAAATTTAACTCTCTGCAATATTAACAAGTTTCTGTACCACGAATATAGAACATTGTGTTTCATTTCTAGTCTGACTTGGAGTAGTGTAAGGGGGGATTTTGAATGAGATGTTGGCCTAATTAAGACCCTCCAATGACAGAAGTGAATTTTTCCTTTCCTTTTCTTTTTTTTTTTGAGTTGGAGTCTCATTCTGTTGCCCAGGGTGGAGTGCCATGGTACACTCAGGGCCACTGCAGCCCTGACCTGCTGAACTCTGGCGATCCTTCCACCTCAGCCTTCCAAGTAGCCAGAACTATAGGTGGGCGCTACCACGCCCGGCTCATTTTTTAAAAATATATTTTAGAAATGAGGTCTCACCAAGTTGCCCAGGCTGGTCTTGAACCGGTGGGCTCAGGCAATCCACTCGCCTCAGGCTCCCAAAATGCTGGGATTACAGGCTGAGCCACTGAGCCCGGCCTACAGAATTGAATTTTTCAGCCATAAAAATCTTCCTGATTTTGAGTACTGACATTTGAAAACATTATTATAAATACTTTTTCTACTAGAAATCCGATTGACATACCATTAAAAAAAAATTTCTTTCTCCAAAGTTAGTAAGACAGCCTCATATTCTATTCAGTTTCTGCTTTGGCTTATTTATTGAAGGTCTATTACTTATTCACTTTGCCAGCCTAAAACAAAAATGAAGCATTTATAGCATCGTGAGTTACAACTTTCTTTAGGAGAAAATTTTATTTTCATATTATTTTCTTGTCATCCAGACATACACAAGATTAGAGTTTCAGAATACATTTCTTGATTTTTCTAACCAGTATTATTGTTCTTGTTAAGTATACTTGAAGTAAGTCCTGGTAATGTAAGTAGAGAACTAGAATATATTAAAAATAAAAAGTTATTGATAATTTGTATTTAAATTATGAAAATAAATAAGAACTTTGAAGAAAATTTGGAGAAAAAAAGAAAAACAATTATTTATAATCTACCCATCCTAACATATTAATTTTTGTTGTTGAGTATTCTCTTCTATCATTCCTTTTTTTAATGGATTTTATTTTGGTTGTGATTTTAGTGTACTTAAATTTTTTTTTTTTTTTTTGAGTCCAGATCTCACTCTGTTAGGCTGGAGTGCACTGGCACGATTATGGCTCACTGCAACCTTGAGCTCCTGAGCTCAAGTGCTCCTCCCGCCTCAGCCTCTGGAGTAGCTGGGGACTATAGATGCATGCCACCATGCCTGACTAATTTTTAAAACATTTTTTTGTAGAGAGGATCTCTCGCTATGTTGCCCAGGCAGATCTTGAGCTCCTGGATTCAAGGGATCCTCCTGCCTTGGCCTCCCAAAATGCTAAGTGTGAGCCACCACACCAGCAGAATTTTTTATTATAACTTTTTAAGCTTAACATTACATATATACATTTTTAATGTCACTACATAACCCTCAAACAGCCTTACTAGCTACATCATATTTAATTGATGGATCCATAGTTTATTTAACCAATTCCTATTGTTGATTACTTTGACTTTATTGGTTGTGTAAATAATACAATACTCATGTCATACATATAGCCTTTCTCATAATTTTTAATATTAACTGAAGATAGATTTTCAAGTTGTAAAAAGCAAAATTACTCTTTGTGAAGTAGGATTACAATAAAAATACGGCAGAGTTAGAGATGTTGGAAAAGAGCTAATGAGTTGCTAATAGATAGTAACTTAAGTCAAAGAGGAGACACAGAAGAGAGAGGGAACCATTTGAAATATGAATATGAAACCCACTATGGACAGTCACTTTCCATTATTACCAAGACAATTATATCCCTGATACTGAACATACTCTTGTCTTTTCATTGAGGATCACAGTGCCCTTGGGGGAGGGGGTAGGAGTGTGCAGGGCTGCCTGTTGCAATAGGCTTTGTATCAGTACAAACCACTCTTTTATCCTTTCAATCCATGTGAACATTTTAGAGAAACTGGAAGCCTGGAAAGCACTCCTGAATTAGTCCATTCTGCCTCTTAATTTTGAGTCTTCATTTTGTTTCCCATTGTTTCCACCCTATTTTATTTTATTTTATTTTATTTATTGTTGCTTTTCATTTGTGATTTGACTGTTTATGAAATTATTTCTAAGTATTTTACATTGACTTGAGTGTGGATTAATTTGAGTTGATGAAGAATAATTTGAATACATTTTATTCATGTGATGACAAATATTCTTCATATATAGAGTGGAATAATGATGGCTGGGAGACATAATGTATATGAAGTGCTTGGCACACATAAATGTTAGCTCTCTCCTATGTCTTTAACTCAAGCATCTACAATGTAGACATTCTAGTGAGAAGATGTCAAGTTGCCTACAAGTATTTTATTCTGCTCTACATATTTGCACGGTGCCCTATGAAAGAGCAGTCTTGGCAAAGCAGAGAAGTACTCATTTTTATTTGTGTTGTGCACAGCCTCTTACCTTTTTTCCTATATGTGAATATTTTATTTTAAAATTGATAAAAATCTAAATTTTTAAAAAATGTATTTATTGGTAAGCGAATTTTTTTAGTGATTGTCAAAGCACAATCTGGTAATATAACTAATAATTGTAGTCCTAGAGATGAAAAGTATTTGTAAGTTACTGCTGACTTTTAAAGTCTAAAATCGATACCAGAAATTTGATATTTTTATGATGGGTTATCTCACCCACTGCAGATTCAATTATGATACATGTTCTCTAATAATCTATTTATGAACTAGGCCTATTCCAATAGGAACAAAAGTTAATGATGATAAAACTCAGGTTGTGATTGATTGGTTAAAAGTACACAGATAAGTGATAGTTGGTATCCAGCACATCTAGATGCCCTGCTAATCTTGCCCTTCCTCAGTGCATTGCCTGAGTCATGACTGGTGAGACTTACGATGAAAGTCTTTGAGAAAAATTAGACATCGTACTCTTCCACTGGTAGCTTACTAGCAAAAAGCAAGATGTTGACTGGTTCATATTTGCCTCTGATTGGATTAGTTATAGTGAAAAGAGTTTCCTTTCTTTAACATTAGTTAAATTAAATTAAATTTATTTCCATGTGATGTCATTCAACAAGAGAGTTTCACTGAAAGTATACTGCTTGCCTCTATTGTATCTTTTAAAGTTAATGTAACCCAGATTTATATGCAAGTGATTTTATGGTAATGTACAATCTTTAGGATAAGGAAGACAAAGGACACATGCACTATGGTACCACTTCAGGAGAAATCACAAGGTAAGCTGGCTTGTCCTGTTTTCCCACCATATATCTAATTTGGGTGTCACATACTTATCTTTTTTGAAAATTCCTTTCTTTTCATTGATTTAATTGTTTTTGTTTGTTAAGCTTTATTTTATAAACTTAGTGGATGTTGGGTTCACTATATACATACCTTTATAATCTCAGGACCCTGGGGTAGGTCCCAATCTTATCTCACTTGGGCCATTTAGTGGCCAGCAAACTGGTATTCTTGTTTTGAGTCTCTGATCTTTGAAATCCTTCAACACTGCAGCAAATACCTAAAACCTTGACATCTAATCACATTACTATCTTCTTCAAAAACAATTACTCCCTTATCAACCCCCCCATAAAGTATGAACTCTTTAGGCATTGAACCCTTTGCCACTTTCCCCCAACTTTCCTTTCTAGCTTTATCTTCTAATTAGTATTTTCATGAATCCTGTGTACCTATGACATTCAGTTACAGAACCTTATTTATATACTAACAATTTTGGTCCCCCAAAACTACTCTAAAGTTGAGTTATTCCTAAGTCCATGGTGACTAAGAGGGTTTACAACATCAAGGTGTATTTCTACCATATGTGAAGTATGAGTTTGAAGCTTTAAAATCAGGCATTCTCCTCGCTACATTTCTGATCTGTTTGATCAGAGCTTTGTTTTTCAAAACCAGACACTGAAAAATTTGTTGAGGCAGGTAATTATACTTTTTAATGATGTCTACAAAACTAGAGAATTTCCTAGCAGTTCTGGTATCTATTCTTATTGCTAAAGCTCTTACTTTTTTTTTTTTTTTTGAGTTGGAGTCTTACTCTGTCACTCAGACTGGAGTGCAGTGGTCGCTCCCAGCCACTGCAGCCTCAACCTGTTGGGCTCTGGCGATCCTTCCGCCTCAGCCTTCCAAGTAGGTGTAACTACAGGTGCGCGCTACCATGCCAGTTAATTTTTTATTTATTGTAGAGATGAGGTCTCACCAAGTTGGCCAGGCAGGTCTCGAACCCACGGGCTCAGGCAATCCACTCACCTCGGCCTCCCAAAGCGCTGGATTGCAGGCTGAGGCACCAAGCCCAGCAGAGCTCTTACTTTTATGTTACAGATTCATAGGGTATTATACCAGGGTAATCATATATGGCATGTAGCATAATGCATATGTCTGGCATTTAAGTTTTGTAGTTAACTCTTAGCCATTTCCTGAAATACTTTTACCTAAAGTTAATGATAAAGATTCATGAACTGTATAGTCAAAATGTTTCCATTTTGTCAATTATGTTTCTTATCATTTATTTATTTTATTTTTAGTTTTAGTTTTTGAGACCAAGTCTTACTCTGTTGCCCAGGCTGGAGTGCAGTGGCACGCTCACGGCCACTCCAGTGTCGATCTGCTGGGCTCCGGCGATCCTTCTGCCTCAGCTTCCAAGTAACTGGAACTACAGGCGCACATAACCACATTCGGCTAATTTTTGTTTTATTGTAGAGACAAGGTCTGGCCAAGTTGTCTGGTTTAGTCTCAAACCCCTGGGTTCAGGCAATCCTCTCGCCTCTGTCTCCCAAAGTGCTTGGATTACAGGTGTGAATCACCGCGCCCGGCATCATTTATTGATTATTGTCCAAGCCAGATTTGTCAACAGTGATAGTATTAATATGATGGACTAAACACTTCTTTATTGTGGGAGTCTGTACTGTGCATTGTGGGATATAGGAGCATCCATGGCCTCTACCCACTAGATGCCACTATCATCTCCCAAGTGTGAAAATAAAAAATGTCTCTAGATATTACCAAATGTCCTCAAGGTAGCAAAATCGCTCCCAGCTGAGAACCACCAGTCAAAGGATAACAACTTTAATATTATTGGTTATTTGCCATTTGTCCTTCAGACTATCAAATGATTCATCCTTTACCTACGTGCAACAATTATTCCCTTCAAAGTTTGAGATTTTAAAAATCTTATTTACTTTCAATTTTTATCATTTCTTTTCTCTAGTGCATTCATCACTTTCATGATTTGGTACCTATATAATAATGGAATTAACAGAACACCTTTAAACAAATACCAAAACCTAAAATTACTAAGTAAAGCCTCTATTGACATTTGTTGGTAAGAGTCATAATTGAGTAGCTTTGCAAGTTCAGTCTATGGAAGTTCATAAGTTTAAGAGTTCATGGACTTTTTCTTAGTATTTGCTTTCTCTGAATTTCTAGATAACTTACACAATTTCTGTAACCAACAGACAGCATAAAAGAAAAATAAAAATGTTTATTAGAACAAAGACATTTGTTTTGCATCTTGGCCCAAATGAATGTTTGCCTGCCTGTGTTCCCATAGGCCGACTTTATGGCTTCTGTGTCTTACTCATTGTTGCATTCCTATGGAGCCTCTACTAGCTTCTGCCACAAAGTTTTCAATAAATACTTGTTTAAAATTAATTTCCTTCAGAATCATACAAGAAGGCAATTCATTTAGTCACTAGCCAAATATAAATTCAGTATCCACTAGGTACCAGGGATGGTTCTAGGTGCTTGAGCTTAGGGTACATCTCTGAATGAAACAAAGATCCCTGCCCTGGTGGAGCTTATATTCTAGTGAGAGACTGTAGTCAAGGAAGATTAAATATAATAAATGAGCCCATTGTATACTATATTAGAAGGTATGTAAGCGCAATAGAAACAGCAACAACAACATAGAACAAGGTAAGGGAAATTGGGAGATTTGGGTAGAAAACAGTGACTTGCGATCTCAAATAGGGAAGTCAGAGTAGGTTTAACTGGAAGTAGTCTTTAAGCAAAGGCTTGAAAAAGGTGAGGGAATTAGGTTATTCTCTTGGGGTCACCAAAAGTCTGTTGGAAGAGCATCAGGAGTCCAGTGTGGCTAAGTAGTGAAAGATGAGAAGCCGGGCTCGGTGGCTCAGCCTGTAATCCTGCGCCTTTGGGAGGGTGAGGTGAGTGGATTTGCCTGAGCCCGCAGGTTCGAGACCCACCTGGGCAGCGAGACCTCATCTCTACAATAAATCAAAAAAATCAGCCGGGCGTGGTAGCGCATGCCTGTAATTCCAGCTACTCGGAAGGTTGAGGCGGAAGGATTGCCGGAGTCCAGCAGGCGAGGCTGCGGTGGCCGGGAGCGGCCACTGCACTCCAGTCTGGGCGACCGAGTGAGACTCTAACTCAAAAAAAAAAAAGAAAGAAAGATGAGGTAAGGGAAAGAACAGAGAATTTGATCATGCAGAACTTTAGAAAGGATTTTTAATTTAACCCTGATTGAAATGAGGAACCACCAAATAATTTTTTAAAATAATGATTTTAGTGTAATCTATGTTTTTAAAGGATTACTATGGCAACCACCATCTTTTTCAATAGTTATGCCTTTAAAAAAAATGAATCTGAGAATGTCCACCCCTGGCTATGATGGAATAGCTTTAATCAGACCGTCTTAGACAGGACTTGAGAGGCTGACATACTAGAGGAATAACCACAGAGAAATGAACCCCAAATTCTGTAAGCAATTTCCTTTCTAAGTATTTGTCAAGTGGTTGTATGCTAGTCAATATTTTAGGAAATCAAATAGAAAACAACTTCTAGGAGGCTTAAGAACCGAGTAGAGATTTCAGCAACTTACCATTTACTGTGGAGGCAGGGGTGGTAGTTTATGGTCTGCCAAAATGGGAAGTTCTTTGTAACTACCTCAGGTTTTCAGTTGAAATTTTGTAGGGCTATACACTATTCATAAAGGCATACCAAGAATAGACTAGCTTAAAAAAAAAAAAAAGCTAAAACCTTAATCTTGACTTGATTAAATTGATCTTCCTGCCAGAAAAAAATCAAATTCTTTCTGGAGGGCTATAAGATGAAACAGAGCCTTTGCACATTTCATATAGTGTCTAGCATTCAACCAAAACTAACTAGGCATAGAAGGATGACAAAAACCAGGAGGAGAAATAGACAACAAAATAGACAACAGAAGCAAACCTACAAATGGTCTAAGTGTTTTAGTCTGTTTGGGTTACTATACCAAAATACTATAAATTGGGTAACTTATAAACAACAGAAATGTATTTCTGTTAGTATTTTAGTAACAAGGTTATGCTTACCTCTAAAGCAAGTTGAGAAATATAAAATATACTTGAATGACCATGTGTCCAGTTAAAGTTCTTTTATAGAAAAAGGAGTAAAAAGTTCTTGGAGGTTGATTAATAGTCTGCACATTTTTAAAAAAATGAACATTCCTAACTTTCTATTATAAGTTCTTGAAAATGTAGTTAATTTTTGTAATTTGATCTTATAGCTATGCACCTTGCTAAAGACTCTTATAATTTTCTATAATTAATACTTAGATTATCTTGGATTGCCCATGTAGAATACCAGAATCATCTATAATTTAATAGTCCGTTTTGTTTCTTCCTTTCAAAATTCTTTTTTCTAATTTTACTAAGATGGCTAGAACTACAAATACAATGCTGAATAGAAATGAATAGTAGGTATCTTTGACTTGTTTCTGATTTTAAAAGAAATGTGTTTAATGTTTTCTCATTAAGAATAATGTTTGCTGTAGATTTTGAGTAGATATCCTTTACAGATTTAAAGAAGTTCCCTTCAACTTTAATTTTCTGAATTTTTTTAAATAAATGAGAATTGAATTTTATCAAATCATTTTCCTGAATTGATTGAGGTGATCATGTGATTTTTTTGTTTAGTTTTTTAATATGAAGAATAGCATTTATAGATTTTATAATGTTGCCACTTGCATGCCTGAGATACACTCAATTTAGGAATGACTTATTATCTTTTATGTACTGCCATATTTAATGTGCTATTATTTCATTTGGCTTTTTATTTATTTATTTATTTTAATTTTTTTTTTTTTAGAGATGAGGTCTCGCCAAGTAGCCCAGGTGGGTCTTGAACCCGCGGGCTCAGGCTATCCACTCACCCCAGCCTCAAAGCGCGGGATTACAGGCTGAGCCACGGAGCCCGGCTTCATTTGGCTTTTTAAATCCACATTAGTGAATGAGATTGTTACTAATTTTCCTTCTTGCTCTGTCCTTGTCTGGATTCAATGTCAAGATTATAATAGCCTTATGGAATAAATTGGGAACTATTCCCTTTCTTTCTATTATCTGGAGGATATGACCTAAAATCGGAATGATCTGTCTCTTGAAAGTCTGATGAAATTCATTTGTAAAATTATTAGGGTTACTCATTTTCTTTGGAGGAATCCTTTAATGTTGATTTAATCATTTTAATTGCAGTACTCTTAAAGCATTCTAATTCTTCAATCAGTTTTGATAAGTTATATTTTTTAGGAAATTTTGCATTTTGCCAATTAACTTATTGGCATAAAGTTTAATCTTTCCTTTATCTGTAATACACTCTCTCTATTCCTAATATTATATATTTGTGCTTTTTTTCTTGATTAATCTCACCAGAGGCTTTCCTTTTTTATAGTCTTTTCTACAAAGAACTAACTTCCCTCCCTCCC